ACCCCTATTGGGAGGCGAATTCATGCCTGGCAGGGCAACACATCGACCGCTCCATTGCAACGCGAGACAGGCACCATATCCGCTGTCTCTTTGGTCACTGGTGTCTGGACTTTGGAGCTCTCTTCTGAAGCTCTTACCAGGTACCCGTACCTTTCGGCACCGACATACCTCGACGGGGTTAGGAGTACCGAGACTTTGAACCGTATCTCTTCGCCCCATGCCTCCCCCTCAGCCCTCCGTTTCTCAAGCACTCTGGCACTTTGCGGCTTGCCTCCTCGTGCTTCACTACCGCCTGGCTCATGCTGATGCACCCTTACCTGTGGCCCACTCTGGCCATGCTCCAACTTCACCGCCCTTCGAGCTAGCCGGCTGAACTCTGGAGCTTGAGAGGCAGATCAGAGCCAGACTGTGGCAAAGTCGATTTGGTTCATCACCAGAATGCCAGATCCCTCAAATGGTCCCGGATGGCCTCGATAGTTTGACGTCGGACTCAACCACAATACCTACTGTATCTACCGTTTCCATCGGAGGCCTGCAGATCCTAGGACAGCCTCTTTTGGAGACCCGAGTTGGACATATCTTGCGCAAGACAGCCTATGCTGTCACTGCTGTGGTACCCAGGCCTTCAACCTACGGGCTGGCAGTATCCAAGACACAACCATGTAAGTTGAAGCTGATTTGCCGCCCAAAATGCATCAGGCGTCCTGCCGCTCCCGTTATGCCTCCTCCCGGGTCATACTTGCGCTCTCTGACGTCTTGTCTCGTAGCAAACATGCAACACGCAGACTGTCGATTGGCCTTGTTCTTGAAGGTGGTGCAGTCACCGCGCGCCCACCAGTCACCCACGCAAATGTCGCCTACGTTTGGCACAAACCGGCGTTCGTCCGTGCATGTGAAGATGGCGCTTGTTCGGGGCAAGATTCAGATCGGAAAATCCTCCAGTCGTAGACGGCGGTGGTGTGGCAGCTTAGCCAATATCGAGTCAGATCAACAACCGCCCCCGACCCTGCACCATTCGACCAGCGACAGCAATTCTGGTCCGTTTTGATCTCACCACATGCCTGAAAACCGCACCGCAGCAGTCACTCTGTACATTGGTTGCCGTGCGTTGAGAAGTCCTTTCCGCCGACTTCCTCCAACTAATTCGCGATCAGGAGATTTTACTTCATTGTGGGATGTCTCTGGGGCGAGACTTGATATAAGTACACGGCGGAGACTCCTCTTGCGTCGCAGTAGGCCAGGGCCAACATGCTGGATTTCGAAATGTTGACAGGATCCAGGCATCATTGGGGATACGATCGATAAAAGGTGCCCGCCGTCGTTCAGCCTTCAGGGACGGCAGTACGTACCCGGGTTCCCCACGCTTCTTGGTGGGATGACAGGGATGAGCAAAGTATACGTACCTCTCCACGCAAGGAAGTGGTCCTCCATGTTTTCTGTTCCCATTCTTCCAACCCCACGAACGAAGCAGCGGAAAGCAGAGCGGACTGGGAAGACGCGACAGACTGGAGCCTCACGATTGGCCAGCAACGTCTTCAGCCTGCTCCAGCCAATCGGGAGTAGAGCAAGTTGCTGACGCGGCTAGCCAATCAAGGGCCCGCAGCTGGGAAAGGGATTTGAATCTTGAATTGACGCCCTCGCTTTCGTCGACGACGTCCAAGGAAAGAAAGTGGCCAAAGATGAGCCTCTCACCAGCTGGCAACATTTCTGAATCGCTTCGCATGGCATCCAAATTCCACACCGGAATTTTGCAATTCACAAGGGGAGACCGATGATAGACACTACGGCAATTGGACTGGACTCTACTCGACTTGCCTCGGGCAAACCCGCGAGACAGAGGATGAAACGACCCAGGATCGAGTCGCTCGACGACCTCCACAGCTCACAGCTTGAACAGGACGTAAAGACCCTGAAACAAGGGTGGGAACGCCGTTTTCTGGAAGCATCATGGCATTCCAGGGTCCGGTTTTTGCCTGCTTCGCTTCTGTAGGTAGCGCTGTGAAGATCAGTCACTCCCTTTCCCCCCCTCTATTACTCTTTTATTTTTATTTTTCATTTGCTGCCCTTGAAATTTTCTGTTGGGGTTCAAATTTGTTGAGATGGTTGCAGTCCAGGGCAGGGCCTTGTCGCGATGGCAGAGCTTCATTGGTACGTACTGACAGAACCCCACTCAGATGGATGAATCCCCGGTCTTTGCTCTCACAAGTCGTGACTTCCTGCTCTCTTCCTAGGGATACGTACCTCGGGAACTTTAGCACACGCCAGTCTTGATTCCTTCTTGAGCCTTGAATCTTCACATCCGATGGATACCTTGCGGTGAAAGCACACAGCAATGCCGGCCATTATGATATTCAGTGGATTGAGAAACAATGCTCCATCGCCTTTTCAGAATCCCGATTATCGTGGAGACCTTCTATCGAGGTTTCAGTTCCACCTAACGCTGAGGCCATCGAGATCCCCAAGGACCAATCCCAACATACTCAATTACACGGGGGACAAGGATTGGGACAAGCTGGCAAGTAGCTTGTTGGTAAGGTCTCTCTGCTGCTTACAGCCAAATTTCAATTATCACATGGTAATTGTTCGATATTGATCCTGCTCCGTCTCCCGCCCAGCCTGGAATGATATCCGTTCTGGCAGTAGACGAAGAGCACGCCAGGGGCAAAAGTATGCCTCCTCAATCCATCACTCAGAGGCTACGGCCCACAGACAACGGCTATTCGCACGACGCTTCTGCAATCTGCACTGCTCATCGTGGCACTCGTGCAAGTCGGGCCCACCGTCGCCTACTGTCGTGGACTTGTGGTGTGGTGCCGTCCGCTTCTCATTCCTAACGAACCCGAGGCCGGGCCCTTTTTCACGAACCACAGGGTCGACCTCCTTCACATGTGATTTGCTCCCCTCCATAGGATAGCGAGAAGAGGCGGCAGTGACCACTGACAGGCGCCACAACCTACTCCAAAGGTCACGACATTTCTTTTCACCCCTTGCTAGCACTTCTATCCGTTCCGTTAGCTTTGCAGAGGAATCAGGGAACGATGGTATTGGCACTCTGCTGATACCTCCCCATCTCGGCAAAGTGTCCTGCGAGTTGACGGACCAAGCACGACTCGGAGGCGAGAGATCGTTTGCCTAGCAGTGCCACTGGCTGGAGGCGGAACATTCCCTTCGTCCCGTCTGGCCGCGGAGGGCTAACGCTCAAGCAGGTTTACTCACCCTAGCTTTTTTTTGGAGGAAATTCAGGGTTGTGTACCTACTCCGTATCTGCTTCGCATCGTCTCTTCGAGGAAGAAGAGGAGAAGATTCGTAGTAGCACCAATCAACAGTAGCTTATGAAAGATTTGGCTTCTTGCGGTTATAGATGACCATGTCTCGTAGGGCTTTCAGCTGACGACACTTTTGTCTCGGTTACCCCAGTACTAGTCCGGATGACTGACAGCTCTAGCTCCAGCATGTCACTCGAGGAGAGTTTACGAGTTGCGAGTTTTCGATGAGACATCCGCGAGAGCCACAGCCTCGAGCATACCTACCTTACTCATACTTCTCTCAGTCTTGCCTACCACTAATTACTCACATGCTGTCTTCACTTGAAGTAGGTAATCGAACTTGTTGAAACCGGTTCAAAATCACAGCGAATCGTGTCACAGATTACCACTACGAAGGATCCCCCCAAGTCTCAGTCAGGTCCATATTTGGCCTCCTATTCACCGCCTCAGTCCCGAGACGTGGAACAACGCTTCCCTGACCGCCAATCACACGATACACGAATACCATTTCTCACCCAGACAGCCTGCTGCATAACAAACAAGCCCCTCTTTGACACCTATTATCATTCATATCCTTATCAAGAATACCTGTCGTCCAGGGCCTCGTGACAGCCTGCAGAACGATACCCAGCGCAGGCTCAATGTCACGGTACCCGACTAACCTGCGTTGCTGTTTGGCTGCCTTACCTCTCGAAAGAAACGCAGATCATATCAAAGACATGTGAAAATACACTTCCCTCCCCCAAAAATGCCCGAATATCACGTTTCTGATGTCACTCGTGTCACCCTGACATGCCGCCGTTCTCAACAGCTTCATCGTCAGGTGCTGCAATACGCTTGATATCTCCCGGCTTGCTCCGCAAGTACCCAGATTTGCATGGCTTTCTGCAGACGAGACCTCAGCACAGGTCCGGACTGCGATCTGTGGCTTACCACCTTACCTGACACCCTCTGCAAGGCGTCACCGGTACACCTACCTATCAGAAGCGCCCAGAGTCGCGCCTCCTGTCAGACAGCGCCAGCCCCATCCGTCGCGGCTGAGACACCCAACAATCCGACCCCGCGTCTCAGAGACGCCATCCCCGAGTCACAGAGGAGAGCCTGACAGGAAGTGAAGGTATCTTGGACCTCTTGGGGCGTTGTAGTATTCCACTCCTTGTGCTGGGTTAGGCGGAGTTGCTGTTCATGTGTAGCTCCCCGTGCTTCCGTATGACTGCCGGCGCTGGGAGATAGATGTGCAGCTCGGGAGGCGTTGCTCTGAAGTAGGCAGGTGGAAAGCCGTTGAGTACAACCCCGATTGAAGCAGAGCTGTTGTGGTAGACGGTACGTATCGCACGTAGGTCGTGATATTTTGCAGGCAAAAGTTGAACAAAAGATGGATTGTAAAGGTACTCTCAGCCTCTTAATGAAGTGAAATTCATATTCGCAGCCGTGAGTGATGAATGTGCTCTATAATGAATCATTCCATTGATCCTATCACGACTTGGTTCATGTGTGGAAATGGCGAGCATCACGAGTGTCTGAACCGCCTTCGTTCATCTGCTCGTATCCTTTCACCTACCTCACAACTTCCCTACGACGTTTCGTAAACTGGCATCAGCTTGAGTTCGGCCGTCGGAATGATCAGTTTTGACTTGAAGAAGTCATGTCTCTTAATTCATCGTCTAGTAGCTTGAATATCTACAGCTAATTCACGACTGGTCTGGTGGTGAGCATCCGAGTTCGATGGAATCGTCACCTCAGCCAGGATCGAGACGAAGTCGGGTTTGCCATGGAAGCCGAGGTTGCGCGTCGACCCTCAGCAATGCTTTCGACCACCCGCTGACTCTGCTGTTGGCGATAGTACTGCATACGATCAGGAATTGTTGCCTTCGATTCCTTCACGTCCTTGTCAAGTTCCTCATCTTCGTCTGAGGTGCTGGCATCGCCTGAATCCATGTAGTCCTTTGCTTTCCAGTATCGTTTCCCATGAATATACTCTTCATCGTACAAATCAATCTCGTTGCCCATGAGATTGAAATGTTGCAGAGCCGCTTGGAGTTCCCGTTCTCTCTCCTCCGAAGGGCTGGCGTTGGCATCATCCTGACGTAGTTCGACTCTGCCAAGGCCCGTCTGGTAGGAGAGACCCGATGCTTCTAGACCTCTCCGTTGCTCTTCCGGCACCCAAGAATCATGGGAGATAATCCATGCGTTGAAGTGAGAAGTGTTTGGTTGAAGGAGGTAGTCGTAGGGGCGCTTCAGATCTTCCCGTACAGGTCGATAATGGTCTAGCCAGTGACGTGAAACGTATCTTAGAAATGCCCGACGAGGATCGCTGCGACAGTCTTTGAGATAAACGCTCGCTTCGTGGTGGTCCAAGACAGTCTTATTGAATGGCTCCGCTGACTGGATCAAATTGATGTAATCAGCGCAAAGTTGAAGCATGTACATGTTTGCATCCGCCAGATTAATTGAATGTTGCCATTGCGAGACAAGCTCCGAGCTTCCTGGTTTCTGCCTGTCTTGGTCTGTGGCTAGAGAATACCTTTTCCATCGAAAAACCATCCTGAAGTCCAGCTCGCTGTCTCTATCCAGAAGGAATTGGCGAGCTGTCTGGTGGACTAGATATATTCTCTGATTGCGAATCCTGACAAAATGGCCGCAAATTTGGCGTAGATGATTTATGAACGGCCTGTGCACAAAACTTTGCAGCTCTTGCAGATTAGAAACCGTTCGCATCTGCGTTGCTGGCTGTCGATTGATGGTACCATAATTCGCCTTAGGCCGGAGGGAAGCAGCCGTCATACCTCGTCTTTCGATATTTCTCAGCTTCGGCGTAAGGTTTGTTGATCCCATTATGCTTCCGTTTCTAGTGATGACTCTTCGTTCCGTATTCTTCTTCACTGGTCTGACTGCGGAAGATGAGGAGTTTGGTGATAAGACCGTCGTGGCCCTGGCAGTTCTGGGCTTTTGGAAGGCCTCGAGCTCTGACACCTTCGTCTGCTTACCGAGATGTTCCTCAGAGAGTCTCAATTCTGAGTGGTTCAAAGCTCGTTTTGACTCTTTTTCATCTGGCTGTTGGTGGTAGTCTTGATTGACTTCCACAGTTCCGCATAATTCATCTAAAGTTAATGGGCGAACGGCGGCAAGGATGAGTAGTAAAACCTTCCTGGTCTTCAAAGGTGATGCTCGACCGGACAAAAGCTTTTCGTAAACGTCTTCGAGCTTGGTAGTGGCCAAGATGGCTTCGATCTGATCCATTGAAATTCCGTCAACTTCAGCTTCTTTTACGATGTTCAAGACCAAAGACACCCAGAGGAAAGTGTAATCAGCATTGCTGATAAGCCGTTTTTTCAGCCGATCAAGAATTTCGGTAGACAATTCTGATTGCTGACCAAGATCCGAAACTTTTGATATCACGAATTGAGCGATATCCTTCGCAACGGAGACACTCTCTTCTTCGGCACTAAGCCTGAAACTGCGACCATTCTTCCTGTCCTGTGAGCCAATGTTAAGCTTACCATTACCCGACCGGAGTCCAAACCTGCGTTCGACTGAGTTGAGCGGTCGGCTTAGGAGAACGATTTTACAGGCTGGTCTCGATTCGGCGGTTAATTCTTTGCGAGACTGGAAGAAGTCCGCCAGAGCTTTGACGAGCTCATCCAAGGACTTCTCTTCGCACTCATCTAGACCATCTAGTATAAACACCATGCTTTTTGTGTTTCTATCATCCATTGTCGCTAGTAGAATAGACCAAAGTGTGGGAAAGCGATTGAGACTACTCTTCGGCATGCTGAGGTATTTGGCCATGGCATGATGCATGACCTGACTTTGCTTGGAGAGTAGCTGGTGAAGGACCGCCGAAACGGCTGACGAAGCATTGTCCTGGTTTTCTAGTCCTTCCTTAAAGAAGAAGTAGCAGACATGGGTGTGGAGATGTGCGCCGAAGGTTCGTTTCTGGAAAAAGTCGACGAGATACTTCGCTACTACCGACTTTCCACAGCCAGCATCGGCTGAGATCCATAGGAGGGCTGAGCCTGGTACCGAGTCCCATAGAGTCCATATCTCATGTGATGTAACCCACTGGCAAGTCTTGGGTATCGGGTCGTCGATCTGGTCAAGATGGTATTCGTATTCTGAGTTTAATTCCCTTAGACAAGCCATTGCCGCCGGATCGAACCCCCGGGGCCCATTAGTCGAAATGTCGATGGTCACTAGCGTTTGCCATTACTTCTACTCACGAATATCACTTCTTGATCCCAATTTTCCCACCGCCTCGCGGATGGCTAGAGAAGCAGCCTGGTATCTTGAGTCTTCTGGTGACGGAAACTTGCAGATGGCTGAGTGGTTGGCGTTCGAGGCAATGGGTAGTTCTTTAGGCCAGTTCAACGTGGCCGATTCTTTCTCGACGACCTGGAGTTTTAGTTGTCAGTTTCCACACATACTACATGGCTCAGGAGGATCCTAATGCCTAGCTGACCACGGTGCCTTGCAATTTAGACCCTTCATCCGCTCAGTCTCATAGAAGCTTCTAACTTCAAACTCTTCCCCACGGGCTGCGAAAGACTCTGATATACTTTTTAGAAACTTTGAATCGACTTTCAGGTTGCTCGATAATTTGCTATTGGTCGCGTATCCGAGTGTAGTAGCTTTGACAATGCGAGTGCCGATTTCGTCTCACGTAGCTAGGCTTGAGCCACGATGCGGGGTGCCGAAGAAAACCACACCGTGAATACGGTCCAAGATACAGGAGTAGTGGCGATCCTGCACATGGGCCATGATTACGGCCTGACTCTCTGTCAGCAAGAAGTACCTCGTGGCTTCACAAAGCAGCGAAGTCCTGCGGAAGATTGCAGAGGAAACGCGAAAAGAGGACAAGGCAGGAAAATGAGCAGGAATAGAGGGCACTGCGCGTACCTGTTTAAAAACCAGGCCCCCAAGACTATGGCAAATGAAGACAATGGGGCGTTTTTGTTCTTCTTCGCTTGTACGCTGGGTTTTCAGTGCCCAGAGTAAGTCTGAGGCAAAATCCGGTATATCTGATTCAGATCGACTAAAGTAGGTCTTGGAGTTATAGCCAAACGTCAACACTCGTGCCGTGGGCATGTCTTTCGGCAGACATGAAGGGTCGCTCAGCCACTGCAATCCCGTTTCGGAGTCCGTCCATGTCTCTTCGCGATGACCGTTGAGCCCGTGAATGGCCACAACGTCTAAGCAGCCTCTCTTGTCCGACAGTTGCGGGACTAGGATCTTGATGCCGTGAGGAGATGCATTTGGTTTCTTTGTAGCGGTACGTGCAATAGATTTACCTGTCTTTCGTGAGGAGGTCGTTTCTTCCCTCGCAGGCGCGTCCAGATTGCCATAGAATTTGTCGTCTGCTGTTCCTGCAGTGTCCTTGGAGGATGGACTATCATTTCGAAAGTCGGTGCCAGAATCTGAGCGACCGTCGTTGTTTTCGGAAGACTTGGTAGACTTGAGGAACGAGGATACTAGCGATTATTGCCCATGATTGAAAAGGCAGAACAAGAGGCAAGGGCATGCAGCACTGGAGGAGCCTCGTCCTGAGGGTGATGACCAGAAAATGTGATCAGGCAGTTTCGCGGTGGATGAGAAATCAGTAACTTGCCATTTTGGGGTCGCGGTTATGTCATTACACCAGCCTGTTGCATGATTGAATACGGTCAAGAGCCGGCCGAGCCTCTTGCCTGCTGCGGCGGTTGCCTCAATGCAAGGTGCCAATGGGAGTAAGGTAAGCCCAAGCAGATTGTGAAGGCAGGCGCTTATCCTGTCACTCCTGCAGATGCGGCAAGCCTAACCTTCCGATCAGAACTTAGAGACACACTGAAGATTAGATATGTTTTGTTGATGGATGTCAGCGGATAGAATGAGCGGTATCTCGGCCTGAGTGCACGGAGAATGGCTTAGTCGAAACTCATAGTCGCGAATCGATGGCCGGGAGGTTATTATCGATACTTGAAGTGGGTATACACAGCACAATGAATTAATGCGAAAGCCGATTATAACAACTCTGATGAGAAGACCTTAGCAGTTTACAATGATGAATCTGAACAGAACCAACTTGAAGTGCCACATGACAGCGATGTCCTCATTTATGTACCTAAGGTGGCCAAAAGCCGCTACCTGTAATCGTGTTCGTTCCTCGTTATCCCTAGATGCTCTATCAACGGGATGTCAAGCATGAGCCAGCCTTCTGATCAACCCAACGCCGGATGCCCAGTTCTTATCCAAGTTACGCCATGCATCCAATGCTATCGAACCGGTGTTGCAATGAAGATCAAGAAAAAAGGGGTATTTCATCAAACCGCAAAACCAAGTTGATCTCGCTCATCGTCCACAAGTCGTCCCCATTCCAGTAGTAGCCGAAACATGTAGATACGCATGTCTTCTCTCCGGAGCGCTTTGCGGCTCCACGCCCTGCCTTCTTCCGCAATGGCCTCTGCTCGCCTCTTGCCTTCCGTGTCAATTCCAAAGTAGGAAAGGAGATCCCACAGCTCGTGGAGTCGCACATCGACCGGGACGTAGTGACGCCACCCGTGGACCCTCTCGTTGAACCAAGTCCGGAAGAGGCCGGAGCGGTATACGAGACTCTTGCTGCGGAGGAAGGGGATGAATCGCCCGCTGAATCCCGCGCCGTCGAGGTCCATCAGGTGTGCGTACTTCCAATGGTCGGTGAAGGGGACCTGGGACTTGTCGGGTGAGTCCTGGCCGATGCCCCAGAAGGTATCCTTTTCGCTTTGGCAGTCCTCTCGGTGACACTTGGTCCATCTGCTCACGAAGCCAACATCAAAATTTGGCAGATCATCCGGTCCCAAGACCAGTGTCCGACCATCCTGTTGGAGTTTCGTAACCCTCATAATCGAATTTGCAGCTTGGACGAACCGAGCCCTGAGGAAACCCTGCCACGAGCCCCAGGCTGCATACCCATCCGAGGATGACCCCCTCCAGAACATGGTGTTCTTCTTCTTGCTCCATTCCATGTCCTCGTTCTCATCGTACGCGGCCTTGTCGTCGTAATTCCAAGGCGAAGGCACCAATATATCAGCAAACCCTGACGTCCTGCTTTGACTGAATACGGGAAACGCATCTCTGGTGAAAAGGGCCGGCGCCGGAGACAATAGAAATCCGTGAAGGTATGCCAAGTCTGGTTGGTGGCAGAGGTCTGTAGCTGAGGTCCAGTTCGACACAACGGGGTTCTCGAGCGCCTCAAAGACGCGGATAGCATGCGGCAGGAGACATCCACGGCACGCCTCTTTACGACTCCACCATCTCGTGTTCCGGGCGGCCGAGTCGGGCGGACAGGTTGGAGCAACAAAGTCGTAGTAGTTTTGATCTCGAATGCGGTCTTCGAAGAAGGGTGACCGCTGCTCAGGTCCCTTAACAGCATCGTCATCACCCCAAACTGCTGACTTGGATCTGTCAAACGTCTTTCGATCCTCCGAATTGAGGAGCTTCGTCCTCGATTCCAAGCCAACGCCGTGAAGTCCAGACATGTCTTCGAAAGGGATCGCCACGCGAGGCTCGTCGTTCAGGTTGATGGCAAGGTCCATGTCGGGGAGATGCTCGGCAAAGTCCTCAATCATGTTCTTCATAGAGGTCATCATCCACATGTGGGATCCAGGCGTACCGGGAGCCACGTTGACCTTTCCCCCACGAATCCGAATGCCTCCAATGCCAAGCCACGGTATCTCCAAGGAATGCTTGGTACGATCTCGCAGGACCTTCGGCTCAACGCCCCAAAACGGGAGTAAATCGTCGTTTATCTGGCTGAAATCGTCGATGATGGGCGAACCGTTGGCGACAGCGTACTCGTACCACTTATCAAAGTTGGGAGGTGGTGCCACACCATAACGCTGTTGATATTCTTTCGCCGCGACCTCGAGGGTGGAGCTCTGATTCGCTCTCGCGATCCAGGCGTCGGATTTGGTATTGGCCGCAGAGAGAAGATCAGGGAAGGATAGAGTATCGGTGGAGTTAAAGTCCGGGTAAAAGATAAGGTAGGTTCCGCAGAGGACGCCAACCAGGACGACGTACCACATCAAGAGAAACCTAATGAGCCGTGGATCTCCCGACGAAGATCCAGAAGCGCTGGCGATATCCTTCTCGTATCGCAAAAGGAGGCCGACGCCGACTATCGTAAGACCACTAGCTATCATGTAGGGCAGAGAGCCGTCCATGGGTAGCGCGGTTTGCAGCATGCGGACGAGCTGATGGGCATAAACGCCTGAAGCAGTGACAATCATGCCCAACGTGCTAGGATGCATGTCACTCATGACATAAAATCCCAATATCAGCCCCAGCGACGCCACTGTGCTGTCCGTCAGTAGATCTCTGATTTCGACAAAGTGAAGTCCAAACGCCCAACGGGTGTTTCGAGCGTTATGGAGGGAGAAACAGGCAAGCAAAGCCAGAACACCTGCGGACCCTAGAAACAGTTTTGACACGAATCCCCAAGCCTGCGGTGCATCATCCACAGTGTCCTGCCGCCATTTCCACAGGTAAAACAGCAGCAGCGCATCCAAAATGACAGTAACGACCTGGGCTATGGGGATCTGTCTCTCCCACCGAAGAAAGCCTGCTGGACATATTGCGCCGGCCGACTGTGTTGACAGGGCGAGAGTGGCCCTCGTGGCGCAGGCCCAAGCGATGGCGATGACGAAGTAGCGCAAGTGAGCAACATTACAGCAGCGTCGAGATCGAGCTTGGTCACCGTTGTGTTGTTGGAGTCGTATGGTGGAGGGAGAAAACGTTGTGTAAAGGACGACAAGAGCTGGGAGGAATACCTGTGCGCGGCGTGTTAGTTCTTCGCGGCCATGGGAATTCTTCAGCATTGCAACAGCTCTCGGTCTACGAACCTCGAAGCTCTCCCAAGAGCAGTGAATCGTGCGGATAGTGCGCCAAAAGAGCAGCGATCGCAGTACGATAGCGCATCCTAGGAAGAAATAGGGCGACAACAAGAACCGAGGGTTGCGCGCGACATCGATGCCAGCTTGGAGTCGTTTTCGCCAGTCATTTTTTGAGGTTGAAAAGGTTGCCAGTTGATACCCGCTGCTGGTTGCACTTTTCCAGGGCGAGATCTGTCTGCACCATATCGCAATGAGTAGACCGGACTCGAGGAGCGTCAAGATGGAGAAGTGTATTGGCCGCTCTGCTTGGTGTTAGTAATTGTCGTCCATGCAATGGTTATGTCGCAATCTGTAAGCAAGGCGAGGTAGAGAGAGTCCGTGGGTTTACTGACCAAAAGCAGCGCTGCTGTTAAACCGTGAGGATATCCATGCTGTGCATGCGAGTAGTAGAATACTTGGAACGGAGTTAATGTCAGCAATGTCACTGGCGCAAATCCAAATACAATTAGGCGAGACATGGGAGAAATTGTGTCAAAAAGCTGCAGGTTTTGAGACTTTTTCTGATGCCATCTGAGACCGCATAGCAGGTAGAAGGTACACATAGTGCAGCAAGGAATGAGGGCGTTTACTCACCAAGCCGCCAAGATGCCATGTCTCTTCAGCGGGGCCGCCATCGGCCTTTGTCAACTTGCCCTACCCAGCGCCGGCTTGGCAAGCAGAGAGACGTCGACTCCAGATGTAACGGGATAAATTGATGACGGGGAAGTGATCTGGGATGCGCGAAGAAGAACCAAAGAAGAATACCAAAAGGATCATGCTACTGTGAGGTAAGCAAAGTCCAATGCGACCATGACGTTCCTTGGTCTACACCCTACACTCCGAGGCAAACAGGACTTTGCTTTAGTGTGGTGTCGCGGCGCGCGCCTATGAAAAGGATGGAAGCGGCAGGCAAGGTGACAAGACAACCCAAGGGGAGGTAAGTACTTGTAGGTAGGTAAGCTGACGGAGGGATTTAAGGCTAAAGCAAGGTCAAAGCTGAACCAAGCCAAGATCAGAAATAGAGAAATGGAAGAGAGGGAACAAGGACAAAGACGGGGGGGAATGGGGGAAGAAGGAATAGAAGAAACATGCAAGACAAGGCCGGCTCGAGGATAGTGCTTTCTGAAGAATGGCTAGCGTACGCCCGACACACACACGAGTGACAAACAGAGACGTCCACCCGATGGGATACTTCGATACGGAGACTATCAGGTAATACTAAGGTATCTGGTATCTTGGGGCAATGGGGGGCCTGCTTGGCTGCAGTCGCTACTGTCGCTACACACACCCAAGACGTATCGAATGAGGCACTTACTTGCTATGATTGCTGTGTAAGGTAATTACAGAGAGGTAGGTAAGGTAGGTAACACGAGGCAAACAAGCAGACGGGAAGGGAAGCAAGCAACCACCATGGCACCAACGACGACTGCCAAGTGCCAAACCTTTCCTCTTTCCCACCCTTTAGTTAGAACTCGGGGAACTTGGAGGGGCTGGGAGAGTCCATCCAGCGTTTGCTGTGCCTTCTTTCTATCTCTGACCAAGGTACGGGCCAATCATGTTCTAGCGGGCCTCCCGTCCAGTACGGCGTAGCATTCTACCGTCATTGTGCCGTACAGCCGGTCCACACACGAGGGTGCACCAAGAACCTTGGTTGGAAGCTGCAAATCCCCGTCTGGTACGGAGTAGGTAGTAGTCTCTCCGACTCTCTGGCCCGTATCGTGTTGGACACTGGTCCATGGTCAATGGTCGTCCAAGGAACGTGGCGTTGGACGCGACGGGTTGGGATGCTTATGGGCCTTGGCCTGGGCCTGGGCCTGGACCTGTGTTGTCGCTTCGCTACAGAGACTGCGTACAAACGGGGCCCTTTGTATACTGGGGTTGAAGAACACGAAGAAGTCGTACGGAGTATGGAGTACCAGGGGGAAAAAACGGGAAACACAAACAGACGAAAGCATGGCGTCATGGGCGCAGCTTTCTGTAACGGTTGATGTGGCTTTCCCGGGAACGGGATGCGTAAGTACTTAGGTCCGTACCTTACCTTAGCTGACGGGTTCATCAAGCCATGCCCAAGTAATTGGAACCGGCAGAGAGAATAGGAATAGGAGTCGAATCCTTACTTCGTACGCCTTACTCCTGACTTCGATCCGGAGGGATGCTTTCTGCACGGCCACAGTCGTACGTGTACCTCGTACCGCACATATTGGTCCTTGGTGAAAGCGGCTGTGGTTGTGTGTGGAGAAAAAAGAACGGAATCAATGCGACTCATGGACAATGCTTGCCCTCCGGCTCCATCCCTCGACATTCCGATCTGCGGGCCCGGTGGACCTGACCTCTAATGCTGCCATCTTTTTCTCATCTTTTTTGGACCAGAAATCCGGAGCCGTAGTTTCGGGAGAATACAAGAGACGGAAAGGAATGCTAGTACGGCTGGCAAGATTGAGATGAACGACGTTGGCCAGAGTTCGGATGTCATGAGCGCAAAGGATGGAAGGACGAAACTCCAAGAACTCACCATTCATTTGCTGATACAAACACGAGTTCCTGGTACTTTTGCAACTTGCACGGACACCCAGAAACTCAACTTCTCAACCAATGTCGTGCGGAGAAATCAAGTCATTAATCCTTCTGCCTATTTCAATTACCGTGGTACCCCTAGCTGTCATCGGCTTTCCGCGTCGATCATGCACAAGGAAACCTTCCTCTTCCTCGCCAGCCAACGGCACCGCAAAGCTTATTGTCGTCCAATTCTAAGCCGCATCTTTCCCATGTGAGATATACACCATACCTTACCGTCCGATACGGTAAGACGAAGGAAGCCTCACATTTCAGCCACATGTCAGCTCCTGACCTCGTCTTGTCCCATGCCGGTCTCTTGCTCTCATCGGGAGCATCAAATCTGTGAATACCACCTTATTCGGCCATCACAAATAGTGTCGACATCCTGTCAAGTCACGCTGCAATCATCGAAATCCACCAATGGACGCTCAAATCATTCATGACACTGCCATTGATTCATTCAGCCCAAGATTGATCCCCTCCGGTCTATGGTATTCACTTTTTGTCTTTTGACCCAACGTCAACATGCAAATATGACTTTTTTCTTGCTCTCTCTTGACCTCCCATTCCTGCCGAGAAAACCCTCATGTGCTGCCATCACTGGCATGTCATTTAAGCGCGCTGCCGTTGTCTAGGAGCAGCGCGAATGATGTCGTCTACGCGGAGAAGAAGCTACTGTGTGTTAGTCATTCATCCCAGACATCATCTCTCAATCAACACCAAAGGCGTTGCTAGGCGGGTATGGCACGTACCTCTGCTGCCTCACTGGCAGACGAAACAACCGCTCTCTTCAGCTTGTAACTCTCAACGACACCCAAGTCGCGCATGTCGGTGATACCACCACCGGGCGACAGCAGGTCCAAACCATAATTCGTCATGCCGTCGTAAATCGCCTTTCTCAGACGGGCCACAAGCTCGCCAGAGTCGAGACCTGCGTTGTCGGCCAAAATGGTGGGCAGCTGGCGCAGCGCAGTCGCAAAGCTGCTGACAGCCATCTGCTTCTTGCCCTCAACGCGAGTGGCGGCACCCTCGACAGCCTTGGCCATAACCATCTCAGCACATCCACCACCCAGAGTGGTCCATGGCTCCTTCACCGTCTGTGACAGGACGGCAAGCGCGTCGTGCAGACTGCGCTCTGCCTCGTCCAGAAGCTGATCTGTGGCACCACGCAGCACAATGGTGCATGCCTCGCCAGCAGCGACACCAGAGAACTTGATCAAGGTGTCCTCGCCAATGATGACCTCCTCAATAAGCTCGCATTGTCCCAACTTGACCTGGTCGGGGTGGTCAAAAGTTGAGGCAATCTCACCGCCCGTCACCAACGCCAATCTCTCAATGCCATCAAAATCGGCGTGCTCGATAGACATGATGCCGGCGTCCGTGAAAAGCTGCTCGGGCCAGTTGTAGATGAGTTGTCTGTTGATGAAGCAGTTGATGCCGTGCGACTTAATCTTCTCCACCTTTGCCTTCATCTTCTCCTTCTCGGCCTTCTCGAGGTCGGCCAGCTTGCTCGTCGTTGACACCTTGACGCGAGCGCCAAAGATCTTGATCTTGTCTGTGTCCATAGAGGTGTTGGCGACCAGGATCTTGGCCTTCTCGAGGCGCTTGGGCTGGTTGACACCAATTTTCTTGTCGAGAATGAAACCCTCGTCGAGGTACGAGTCGCTCAACTTGCCACCGGCCTTCTTGATGATTTGGATATGGCTCAGGTCGGAGGAGTTCTTGAGTCGCAGCACGGCATCGCAGGCGAGCTTGGAGAAATGGTCGCGGTCCTGGGCCAGGACCTTGGAGCTGAGGGTTGTGCGGGCAATGGCCTGTAGGTCTTTTCTGAATGCCTCGGGAGTGTTGCTGCGGTCGACGGCTGACTCCTTCAGGGCCTTGAGGGCGGCCTGGCTTGCTATCCGGTATCCCTCGATAATGGTCTGGGGGTGGATCTTCTTGTCGACGAGCTTCTCAGCTTCGCGCAGAAGCTCCGCCGCAAGGACGGCAACGGAGGTGGTACCATCACCGACTTCATCGTCCTGGACCTTGGAGATGTTGACCAGCACCTTGGCCGCCGCGTTGTCGAGGGCAATGGACTTCAGAATGGTAGCGCCGTCGTTCGTGACCATGATCTCGCCAGTCGATCTGGACGTTTGTCAGCCATGTCAGTGGATCAAGGCGGTAGATGGGGGGTTATTGAATTTGGCGGGGTTCAACATACGCAGACTGCAGAATCTTGTCCATACCCTTGGGGCCGAGAGTGCTCTTGACGAGGTCACCGACGGCGATGGCGCCAACGAAGGCGGAGAGACGGGCATTCTCTCCCTTCTCCTCGGTAGTTCCGTCCTCGAAGATTTGTGTCGGGCTGAAGGACGACTGGAGGGGCACCCATTTGTTAGCATCTTGGGCCACATCCAAGGGGGTATGGGTGTTTGAGACGAACCATGGTGAATGTGTATTATGCAGACACTCTGTATCGAAAGTCGAATCGGTGACTGGGTGGGTGGGGGGAAAGCAAAGGTATCTGGGTTGTACAATCCTCAGCCTTGGGAGAGCTTCACCGAGAAAATCGTCGTAGAAAATTTGGGGGGGTTCAGCCTGGCGAAGTGGGGTGTGCTGGGCAGGAGCTTCCAGGCAGTGTGGTCAGCGAAGCAGAGCTGCTGTGGTGTTTCTACAGACGTCCATCCTCCACTGTAGCAATTACTAGTGGTCAGTGCGCACTCATGGCAGCAATTGGGCACCTGGCGGGGTACATCTTATGGCGGGAGCTTCTCTGGGCGGTGAGAGACGTGACCCTGAAGCAGTCCGATTGGGAAAGTGTACCTGACGGTGACGGTCGGCAGAATCCACACGTGACTCTCCTAGAGATGGCCGTTGCGACGAGGTATCGAAGTACCTTACCCAAGGCCCCAGGCAGTAGCGAGGGGCTTTCTCGGGACCGGAACAACCGAATAATCCAGCACACACGAATGTGCCATATCACCAAAAACTTTCCAAAACGAGGTCCAAATTGTGTGCGCGATAGTTGTTTGGTCCCCTTTACCAACCCCTGTAGAACTCCCCTTCAAGACGTGAAATCCATTCAGTCGATAAGCCG